TTTTTCTCAGAATTTTGAGTTTATATCTAACAATTGCGAGTTATTTATTCCGAGTTATTAATTCTGAAATGTAAACTTAGAATTTCGACTTTTTTCTCAGAATTTTGAGTTTATATCTAACAATTGCGAGGTATTTGCGAAATGTAAATCAGAATTCTGAGGGAAAAGGTAAGAATTGCGAAAAAAAGTCAAAACTCTAAATTTACGTCTTACAATTGATCATTTGTTAAAAACTCACAATTCTGAGAAAAAATGTCTAATTAAAACAAAAAGTCGCATGTACCCTTTTTATATAGGCCTATTTATTCCATGGGAGAAATCCGTATTTTATAAAGCACTTAAATAATGTGGCTTTCCGTCCTCATCTGACGTCATCAGTCGCTCTTATTGATCAACCGCCTTCATACAGACACACTGTCACCGTCCCATCAGTTCATCACGTCTGTGTTTTTCACAGGTTGTGACTGTCTCATGTTGACTTTAATATGTTCACAGTCTGCTCATGTTGTTCCAGCACACTCTTCTCTCAGTGCTCGAGTAGAAATGACTGGTTCTGGTGTGTTCAGGTCCGATCTGGCTGGATAACGTCTGGTGTTCGGGCAGCGAGAGCTCTCTGTCGGAGTGTCGGTCAAACGGCTGGGGTGTGAGCGACTGCACTCACGCTGAAGATCTGGGAGTCGTCTGCAGTCCGGATCCACCCAACCAGGGTCACGTCCCCCGGTACCAAGAGCCTCCTTCACCTCAGATCTCTAACCTGGTCTCGAACGCTCCTCAGCGCGGGCACGAGATCGGCCTCCACCGCGGCGGCCGCGGCCCGTCCTCACCGCAGCTCACCGGTCATCGCATCCAGCTGCGCAGGAACGGGTTCGAGAGTGCCGTCACCCCGCGGGGACACCAGATCCCGGACTTCCTGCGCAGCAGAGCCTCCTACAGACGAGCACAGGAAGTGACGCCCGCTCAGACCACACGAAACCCTGAGAGACCAGCACCAGCGCCGGAGCCGGTTTACAGTCCCGAGCCGGTGGAGCACAGTAACAGGATGGATCTGGACTTCACCGACATGGACGAGCAGGTCAGAGTCTCTAATGCTCAGCACGGCTGCATTTATTTGATCAAAAATAGAGTAAAAATTTAAATATTATTATAATGTAAAACAGCTGTTTTCTATGTGAATATCTGTTAAACTGTAATGTATTTCTGTGATGCGCAGCTGTATTTTCAGCATCATTACTCATTTTCATTACAACATTCTAATATGCTGATTATTAGAAACATTTCTGAATATTATCAATGTTGAACACAGTTGTGCTGCACAATATTTTTCCATTCAAAGGTTTGGGATAATGTATGATTTAAAAAGAAATATATACTTTTATTCATCAAGGATGCATTAAATTGATGGAAAGTGACAGTAAAGACATTTATAACATTACAGAAGATTTCTATTTCAAATAAATGCTGTTCTTCTGAACTTTCTATTCATCTGTGAACCCTGAAAAATAACATGTATCACAGTTTACACAAAAATATAACCGTTTTCAATTAAATATTCCAGGTTTTAGATAGTTTCTAGATTATCCAACTTGGTCATTAGTTGGTTTAGTTGGTTGACCAACTAAACTGGTAGTCCTTCTTGAACCAGCATCACAGCAGCTCTAGTCTGACCGTGTTAATCTGCTCAGTTTTTCCAGCGGTTAACAGTGTCATGTAATTGAAGACTAGCAGTGTAAACATGCTGTAAACTGCAGTCGCTTGGAGCCGGCTCGTCTGATGATTGACAGCTCTCTGGAGGATTCTGATTGGCTGTTTCAGCACTTTCTGTTTCTGATGGATAGTTTAGAGTGTTTTATCCAGTCAAAGCTCTTTTAGTGTAATTGTACAAACGTCCAGCTTCAGCTTCACAAGCCTCCAGAACATCTCACATCTTCTGAGGAGCCTTTATTTCTTCAGCTCTCAATCACTGCATTATATGTTTGGAGCATTTCAGTCTCATCTCACTGAGACATGTTACTGGAGATGTAGAGTGACACTATCAAACAATATATTTTCTGTTATTAGGTTAGCTTGAGAAAGCCAGCCTACTGATCTGCTACTTAAGCTTTTTATTATTATTCTTCTTAGACTAAAGTTCTGAACGCTACTCCTCCTAGAGCTTTTAAGCTAGAACCACCAAACTCAGCCCAGCTCTTCAGACCGATCTGACTCGGGTTGCTATATCTTTTCAGACTGATCCGACTTATAGTTTTCATAAAACTGAAGATCATAAAAATCATAAAAATCCCATAGACTTACATTGATTGAATGTTCAGGTGAGCCAAGACTATTCAAACTCCAACTGTCAAAATTCTAATCTAAACACACTGAAGCCCATTAGACTCAATCACGCTTCCCTTCTATGTACTATTTCTGACCCATTCAAACTCATTCAAACTTATCTAATATTTCTAATCTATCTATCTATCTATCCTAGCGACATGCTAATCATGCTAGAAACATTCCAACAGCATACTAGCGACATGCTACTAACTTGCTATTCATGCTAGCAACATGCTAGTAACATGCTAATCATGCTAGAAACATACTAGCGACATGTTAGTAACTTTGCTGATCATGCTAGGAACATGCTAGTAACTTGTTATTCATGCAAGAAACATGCTAGCGACATGCTAGGAACTTGCTAATCATGTTAGAAACATGCTAGTCACTTGCTAATCATGCTAGTTACATGCTAATCATGCTAGAAACATGCTAGTGAAATGCTAGTAACTTGCTAATCATGCTAGAAACATGCTAGTAACATGCTAATCAACATGCTAGTAACATGCTAATAATGCCAGCAATATGCTAGTGACAGGCAAATCATGCTAAAAACATGCTAATCATGCTAGAAACATGTTATCAACATCTATCTAATCTAAATTTTCTAACTTCAGGCTTTTACAACTGCTTTAAACTTTGAGGCTAGGCTTTCTCAAGCCAACCTAAAGTTTGTCTTGACAAACTTTTTTATCTAGTTTCATCTGTCAGGCTTCGCAGGGTTAATGTTTGTCCGTGTCTCTCTCAGTTGTCTGGGTCGCTCCGGCTGGACGAGGTGCGTCTCCGAGCCGTTCTGAGCGCCGCTCGGAGCGCTGCCATGGTGACGGAGGGTGTGCTGGAGGTGAGGCATGCTGGGAAATGGAGGCAGGTGTGTAGTGTGGGCTGGGATCTCAGCAGCAGTCGTGTAGCGTGTGGCATGCTGGGATTCCCGTCAGCGGAGCAGCTCGACACACGCGTGTACCGGTGAGTATGTGCGGTTCCTCATCAACATACTGAGAGCAAGTCATGACTAACCTGTAAGACTAGTTAATGCAACCTGATTTAATCCAGTTTAACGGAATATTCTGCTTATTTGTGTAAATATTCCAAGTTTCACATGGTTTCTAGATGATCCAGCTTGGTCATTAGTTGGTTTAAGTGGTTAACCAACTGATGCAAACTGATAGACCAACAATAAACCAGCTCCCATGGTGTACTAACTAGAGTTATTATAGTTCACTAAAACTAAAACTGAAACTTAGCATCTGTTAGTACATAAATTAAAATATAAAAAGTAGTCTCAGACCACTAGAGAAAATGTGTATAATTTGCCTTTTTCCAATTTAATACACATTTTAACAAATTATACGTCAATGAAAGTTGAAGTGGAACATAAAATGTGAGAATGACAAATAAATAAATAAATAAATGATTAAAAAAGCGACATGTTAGTAACTTTGCTGATCATGCTAGGAACATGCTAGTAACTTGTTATTCATGCAAGAAACATGCTAGCGACATGCTAGGAACTTGCTAATCATGTTAGAAACATGCTAGTCACTTGCTAATCATGCTAGTTACATGCTAATCATGCTAGAAACATGCTAGTGAAATGCTAGTAACTTGCTAATCATGCTAGAAACATGCTAGTAACATGCTAATCAACATGCTAGTAACATGCTAATAATGCCAGCAATATGCTAGTGACAGGCAAATCATGCTAAAAACATGCTAATCATGCTAGAAACATGTTATCAACATCTATCTAATCTAAATTTTCTAACTTCAGGCTTTTACAACTGCTTTAAACTTTGAGGCTAGGCTTTCTCAAGCCAACCTAAAGTTTGTCTTGACAAACTTTTTTATCTAGTTTCATCTGTCAGGCTTCGCAGGGTTAATGTTTGTCCGTGTCTCTCTCAGTTGTCTGGGTCGCTCCGGCTGGACGAGGTGCGTCTCCGAGCCGTTCTGAGCGCCGCTCGGAGCGCTGCCATGGTGCCGGAGGGTGTGCTGGAGGTGAGGCATGCTGGGAAATGGAGGCAGGTGTGTAGTGTGGGCTGGGATCTCAGCAGCAGTCGTGTAGCGTGTGGCATGCTGGGATTCCCGTCAGCGGAGCAGCTCGACACACGCGTGTACCGGTGAGTATGTGCGGTTCCTCATCAACATACTGAGAGCAAGTCATGACTAACCTGTAAGACTAGTTAATGCAACCTGATTTAATCCAGTTTAACGGAATATTCTGCTTATTTGTGTAAATATTCCAAGTTTCACATGGTTTCTAGATGATCCAGCTTGGTCATTAGTTGGTTTAAGTGGTTAACCAACTGATGCAAACTGATAGACCAACAATAAACCAGCTCCCATGGTGTACTAACTAGAGTTATTATAGTTCACTAAAACTAAAACTGAAACTTAGCATCTGTTAGTACATAAATTAAAATATAAAAAGTAGTCTCAGACCACTAGAGAAAATGTGTATAATTTGCCTTTTTCCAATTTAATACACATTTTAACAAATTATACGTCAATGAAAGTTGAAGTGGAACATAAAATGTGAGAATGACAAATAAATAAATAAATAAATGATTAAAAAATTTATAATAAATAATAAAAATAAATGTTAACTGAAATAAAATAAAATATAAAACCTTAAACGTATCTAAAAACGTATTTGAACTAGTATCTAAGGCAACATTTCTCCGTTTAATGTAGTTTAACTTTATGTACTAAAATAACTAAAACTAAAACTGACATAAAAAATTAATTAAACCTGTAAAGACATATATTTAAAATGACAAAAATAATAAAACAATTACTAAAATTAATATATTAGCTAAACCTATAAAAGTATAACCTAACATGAAAACTGAAACTAAAATAATAATAATAATTTAGTTTAACTTGATGCACTAAAATAGCTAAACTTCAAGAACTATCAAGAACTGTAAGAGTATATGAGTGATACTAAGTAACACTGGTTGGAGTGTGTTCGTCTGAGTTTGGCTGCTCGTCTTTCTAAACATCTGAGGCTCTGAGCTCTTCCACAGACTGTGTTTAGTGTCAGGAATAGCAGCATGTGTCCTCCTCTAATCGCATGTAATTAGCTGATTCCAGTCTGACTGCTTATATATGTGTCTGTTCTGTGCGAGCGCTGGTCAGAAGCCCAGAGACTGAGAGCCGTGAATAAGAGACAGGCACAGGAACCGCCGGCTGCTCGAGTCGTTCAGTTTCTGTCTGATAAACTCTCTCCTTCTTCATCAGAGTGCGTGTGTTTCCATCAGCTCTCAGTGTTAACAGGACAGGAGGATCGTGAGATTCAGAGCAAGCGTGTCGTGATCTGCCCTGATAATGACTGACTGAGACTGATTAAACCAGCTGAACAGACCTTCAGTCACCATACGCCATATATTTTTTTTTATTTATTTTTATTTTTGAATACGTTTCAAAATATATAAATAATGGCTAAACATATATATATATTTGCTGAAATATGATTCATAAATCTATTTATATAAATATATATTTGAGCTTTTTTGCTTTATTTTTGAAAAATATTTTTAAATATTTGTTTTTTAAAAACTATTTTCAAAAATATACCAAAAATTGCCTCTCTCTCTATATATATATATATATTGTTTTTAAGTTTTAAAATATGCAAATAATTGCAAAAAAAAATATGTATTTGCTAAAATATGACTCAAAATCTATGTATGTAAATATAATATTTTATTATGTAAATAAATTATTTTTGAAAAATATTTTTAAATATTTATGTTTTGGTTTTTTTTCAAAAATATACAAAACATTGCCTACTATATATTTGCTAAAATATTATTCAAAATCTATTTATATAAATATATATTTGAGCTTTTTTCCCTTTATTTTTGAAAAATATTTTTAAATATTTATGTTTTTAAAATATATTTTCAAAATATACAAAAAATATTTAAATACATTACATAAATAAATTCAAATATGTCACATTTGAAGAAAAACGTACTTTGTTGTCTATAACGTGTAAATATTTAACACATTTGAATAAAAATCACCAAGAAATATATATTTTATATTTCAACAATATTTTTCATTGAGCTTCACTGTTACCAACATATATTTAGCATGTGTTTAAAGTATATTTTGGCCTCAGAAAATATGTATGTTTTTTCCGTATGGAATCTAAAGAGTCGTTCATACAAAATGTGTTTTTTCTTTAAAAAAAACAACGCAAAATGTTGGCAGTGGAATTGAGAAAAAACACACAGCTTATAGTCACGTACATATTTTAATTTGAACGCCGCGTTTTTAGAAAACATTTAATGTGTGAGATTCTGCGAAAGATACGAGACACGAGAACAACGATCAAACACTCAGAACGAATCAGTTCTGAAACACTGGACCAATCAGAGCAGTCCAGAGGCGGGGCTCTGAAACACTGGACCAATCAGAGCAGCACGGAGGCGGGGCTTTCGCTTACATTAACAAGCTTTATTTGACAGTAGCCCCTTATTCTGCTCACTGCAGCACTGAGAGACACTTTAATAAGAAACACCACAGCTTTAATGAGCAGTATTTATGTGGTCTGGACTAGATTTAATAGTTTTGACCTTTAGTTCACTCTCACTTTATATCAGTTTCACAGCTCTTCCTCAGAATCTGGCTTGTTTTCCAGAGCAGATCTCTACAGATTCATTAAAAAGACAGAAGTCTGAGAAAGGTGTCAAAATGAAGTGAGTTTATGATTAAAACAAGAACAAATATATGTGTTTTTGCAGTGAATGCTTCATTCTTCTGCCCCAGATATGTGTTCTTCATGTGAGTTCAGGAGAGAAGCGGTGTTGTGTGTATTGTTCTGTGGTTTATTCTGAGCGCTAAATGACGGGCTTGAGTCTCTGTTTCTGTGCTGTCTATATTAAACTCCAGCCGCAGTGAGACTGTGCTTCTGCGAGGGGTTTTAATAGCTGCTTTCACTCCACCCATCGCAGCTCGTTTCTGCCTGTTGCTTCGTTTGGAAGATTAAATGTGTTTTCATTTCATGAGAGTAAAGAGCAGTTCACTGGTGTAAATCTAATCGTCACATCTTTATATTTAAATATAAATATAGAATTAGTTTGACACAGATTTCCTAACAGACACTTTTCTTCTCTAAAGAGGGACTTTGGTTGAAGGATGTTGAAGAAAATCCCAGTGTTTTACACAAAACAGGTTGTTAAAGTGATCAGACCCATACGGCAATGCTAAAACAGGTTTCAAAATATATTTACTTTTTTTTTTACCAATATATTTTTTGAAAATATATTTAATATCTATTTTATAAAGCATTTAAAAATATATTTTGTAAACTTGTTTTTTCTCTAGAACTGAATATTTGACACATTAGGAAAACAATGAATAAAGCCTAAATAGAAGCTACTGTAAGATTGGAAATGTATTTTTAAAAAGTAAAAAAAAAAAGCATATATATATATATATATTTTTTATTTTATTTTTTTTATATAATTCTTCAAAAATATGTTTCATTGAGCTTCACTGTTTAAAACGTATATTTAGCATGTATTTGAAATATATATTGGTGAGAAAGCATGTATATTTTGCTGTATGAATGCTGTTTGTTGAGTGGTGTGTTTGTGTTTGTGTGCAGACAGGCGTGTGATGTGATCTAAACAGACTGAGTGTCTGGTGTGTTTTCTGACGATCATTAATGCTTCTTCAGCTCTTCTGATCTTCTCTTCATGTGTCTGTGGCTCCGGGCTGCTCTCGGGTCATGTGACTGCTCTCAGCCAATCACAGCCCTGCATGGATCTCTGTTGATGTGGCAAATAAGTGGTTTCCTAAAGTCATGCTGCCCACCAGAGCGGACCACCAGCGCTCAGACAGACCATATATATATATACATGCTGCTCTCACACGATGCTATCCAGCGGTCTCTGTGGTGTTTCTGTTAGTTTGTTGTGTTTCCATGCGACACCGAGAGCTCTGTGTGTTCCAGCAGGTGCTTGTGGGTGTTTTAACTGCTGCTTTAATTCAGTGACTCGTTAGGACGGTCGTTTCAGCTCTTTTGTTTAACCTGCCGCTGTATAATCCTGCAGGATGATGTATTTTTGCAGGCCGAAACTTCCGGTTCCGTCGTCCTGAAGTCAATGGATTTTTGATGGTTTTTTGGTTAAATGCCTAAAATAATGTCTGTGATTGAGCCTCATGTTGTGTTCCGGTCATTTTATCCCAAGGATTTGAGGATTTTCTTTTTCCTAAAAATGCTAGTTAATGTTTTCACGCTGGACTAAAACTCTCTGGATTTATTCACACAGGATAAACAACTTACCAAAACATTTTTGTACTTTTTTGGCCACACTCAAAATGATTGGCCTACAATTTTGTTTTTATAAATTTCTTGTTATATATTATCACACAAGAGTGTAGGTTTGATTGTGGCATTGATGGGGAATAACAGCAGATTACAGACATTTAATTGTTTGATCAAAATGATTGCTAGAGATGATTGATCAGTGTCTGATATTGTTAGGATCATGTCACAGCGTCTCTAAACTAAACTCTACAGCCTTGAAAATCATAAGAAGCGATGTCTGACTTTAGAAACTACAGTTCTCTCCTTAAATATGAAGAGATCAAACTACAGATTCATGAGTTACTCCAAATCTCACCAAAAGCTTCTGGACGTGATTATAATAGAAGTCAGACACTGAAGAGAGTTGCTGTTTTGTCTCTTCTGAGGAAGATTCATTCGCTTGTTTGCTAATGAACCGCAGAGAAACTTTGATCAGAGTTATTAATGTTCATCTGATCTCTAAAGCAGTGGAAACTGCATCTCTATATTCATCTGTGTGTCCTCTTAAGGTGACAAAAGCATGGTTACTATAGTTAAACCAGGGGAACCACAAATTAACTTTGCTATAGTTTAACCATGGTATTTGTAGTAAAACTGTATAACTTTTGTTACACAAAAAAACATGGTTACTACACTTTTACTATAATAAAAACATAATTTCTTTCTTTTTACTGTACTGTCTTAATGGTTTGATGTTTTCTACTGTTTAATAAAAACGAAATCAGAACAAAGATTCGCGATTCGCGCTCCGAAGTCCCGATCTGAATCAAACGATTCGCGAACCGATTTGAGCGCTTCGAAACAGTTAATCATTTTGCGACGCAATGGTTTAACCGATTCGGAGTTTTCATTACAAGCGATGTCGAAAATTAATGGCTCTTTTGAACTGTTTTTTGCTAGTGAATCGCTTGAACCGAATGATCGAAGTCACGAGTTTGAATCATTCTGAGCGGTTCCAGCGTAAATGACTCACTCCATTGAATCGGTTCGTCTGTTCTGGTCTTCAGTCATGTTTACACGACACTGTCAGCTCTAATACTGACTCAGCTCGCTAGTTTTATCACATTAACTGAAATAAGCGAAAAAAGTATGAGGTTTACAAATAAAATAGTCATATTTACATTCCAAAGTTAACATCCAACACAAATCTAGAACATATTCAGGTGCGGAAACCGGTTTATTGTTAACTAGTGAAACTCTCCATTAAGAAATCAGCTGAACGCATCCAGTGAATGTTCAGTTTATCAGTATAAATATTTGAGAAATGATTGTTGTATCTGATTGTATGAGTCTATATAGAGTGATATCAATGTAAAAAGAGCAGATGAACACAAAACAGCAGAACAACATCAAGTTAAAGAAGATACATTTTCTCATTCAGATGAACTGTGCTCGTGTGTTTAAACGCAGTTTTCTAGAGTATTTCTTTAACTTCTGATGTAATATCAATGGTGTGACCGATTTCAGATGCGTCGAAATTACAACAACAGTGCTTACATACACGTATTTAATTGTTTGATCTTATTTGAAATTATTGCTAGAGACAATTTAGTAGTCGCTGGATACAATACACAAAACAATCGGCACTGCTAAAATATTAAATTAATATTAATACTCAATCCTCTGAGGCGACGGTTGGTGTGAGGCGCGGGATCATCGGTTTGAAGAGCAGACGGCGTGAATATTTGAAAATATTTTCCCGCTTAACTCCGCGACTGACCAATCAGAATCAAGTATTCCAGAAAGCCGCGAAATAAGAAGAGTATCGCCTCGAGCACATTCATCATTCTTATTTATTTTAGCTCCTGCTAGTTACTGGTAACTGCTTTTCTGATATTGGTTTGTAGAATTTAACAGTTATGATCAGTGTTGGTGAAAGTTACTTTTAAAAGTAATGCATTACAATATTGCGTTACTCCATTAAAAAAGTAATTACGTTACTTAGTTACTTTTTATGGAAAGTAATGAGTTGCGTTACTTTTAAAATCTGGACAGGGCTTGCTTGTTTGCTTTTAAAATAAAAAAGTTATATTTTTGGCAAATATAAAAGCTTTTTCACACCAAAAATGAAATGAATAAGCCTCAGGCTGAAGGGAAAGTGAAGTAGAACGCAGAAGATATTTCAACACACTTCAGCAATAAAAAAAACACACAAATGTTCGTCTAGAGTAATTTGTGCTTATTAGTACGGTTGAACTGGATCATCGAAGATCAGAAGCAAATAGAATGGGATTAAATACATAAAGCATATTTGTGTTGTTTAACATTTAATTATTGCAGGTTTGTGTCATATTCTGAGTTGCATTATTTTTATTCATTTTGAGGAATACTGAATCTGTGTTGTTGTTTTTTTGTGAGTGAGATGAATTAATGCATATTCATATTTATTTTAGAACTACA